TTTTTGAGATGGAGTCTTGCTCTGTCACCCAGGCTGGAGTGCAGTGGCACAATCTCAGCTCACTGCAGCCTCTGCTTCCCAAATGTTCAAGCGATTCTTCTGCCTCAGCCTCCCAAGTAGCTGGGACTACAGGTGCCTACCACCATGCCTGCCTAATGTTTTGTATTTTTAGTAGAAACAGGGTTTCGCTCTATTAGCCTGGATGGGCTCGATCTCCTGACCTTGTGATCCTCCCGCCTCAGCCTCCCAAAGTGCTGGAATTATAAGTGTGAGCCACCATGCCTGTCCTCTTTCTTTCTTTCTCTCTTTCTCTCTCTCCCTCCCTCCCACTCTCCTTCCCTCCTTCCCTCCTTTCCTCCTTCCCTCCCTTCCTCCCTTCCTCCTTTTCCTCCTTCACTCCTTCCCTCCTCCCCTCCTTCCCTCCTTCCCTCCCTTCCTCCCTTCCTCCTTTTCCTCCTTCACTCCTTCCCTCCTCCCCTCCTTCCCTCCTTCCCTCCCTTCCCTCCTTCCCTCCCTCCCTCCCTCCTTCCCTCCCTCCCTCCCTCCTTCCCTCCTTCCCTCCCTCCCTCCCTTCCTCTCTTCCTCCCTTCCTCTCTCTCTCCCCCTCTCTCTCTCTCTGTCTCTCTTTCTCTCTTTCTTTCTGTGATAGGCCTTGCTCTGTCACTGTGTCATCCAGGCTGGAGTGCAGTGGTGGAATCACCGCTCACTGCAGCCTCAACTTCCTGGGCTCAAGCCATGGTCCCACCTCAGCCTCCCAAGTGGCTGCAACTACAGGCATGTGCCACCATGTTCGGGCGATTTGTCAAGGTTTTGTAGAGATGAGGTCTTGCTGTGTTGCCCAGACTGTTCTCAAACCCCTAAGCTCCGGTGATCCTTCCACCTTGGCCTACCAAAGTGCTGGGGTTATAGGCGTGAGCCACCTCACCCAGCCAGAAAACAGCAGAGACTTAAAACAGATATTTATACACCAATGTTCACAGCAGCAATATTTACAATAGCCAAAAGGTAGAAACAAACCAAATTTCCATCAACAAATGAGTGAATAAACAAAGTGAGCTTTATCCATTCAATGGAATATTATTCAGACTTAAAAAAGAATGACATTCTGACACCTGCTACAATGTGAATAAATCTAAGGGACAAATATTGTATGATTCCACTCATAGGAGGCTTCTAGGATAGTCAGATTCATAGAGATGGAAAGTAGAATGGTGGCGGCCAGGGGCTGGGAGATGAGGATGTGGGTTTAGTGTTTAATGGGGACAGAGTTTCAGTTTTGGAAGATGAAAAAGTTCTGGACATAGGCCGGGCGCAGTGGGTCATGCCTGTAATCTCAGCACTTTGGGAGGCTGAGTTGGCCAAATCACCTGAGGTAAGGAATTTGAGACCATCTTGACCAACATGGTGAAAACCCATCTCTACTGAAAATACAAAAATTACCTGGGCATGGTGGCAGGCCCCTGTAATGCCAGCTACTCTGGAGGCTGAGGCAGGAGGATCACTTGAACCCTGGAGGCGGAGGTTGCAGTGAGCTGAGATTGTGCCATTGCACTACAATGTGAAACTCCACCTCAAATAATAATAAAGTTCTGAGATAGATGGTGGTGATTATGCAACGACATGAATGCGGTTTCATTCACCATCATTTCATTATAACGTTGATGAGAAAAGAAATTTTGATTCCCATCTGGGGCCACTGTCTGTGGAGTTTGCATACGACCCCCAAGTCTACGAGGGTTTTCTCCAGGTACTCTGGTTTCCTTCCCCATCCCAAAGGTGTGCACAGAGGTGAATCGATGTGTCTAAATGGTCCCAGTCCAAGCGCGTGTGGGTGTGAGCTCGGTTTGCGATGGGAGGCCATCCTCTCTGGGGCTGCTTTCTGCCTTGGGCCCTCAGCTTCTGGGACAGGCTCCGGCCACCTGCAACCCCAAGTGGGAATGAGCAGATAAATAATTATTTGACTTGTTTTTATCAATCTTTTTGAAATGTATTTATTCCAGTGTGTGATATTATAATTTTTTGGCATTTATGTGTTTATTTATTTATTAAATAGAGATGAGGTCTCACTTTGTTGCCCAGGCTGGTCTCAAACTCCTGGCCTCAAAGGGTCCTCCTGCTTCAGCCTCCAAAAATGCTGGGATTATAGGCGTGAGCCACCTTGCCTGGCCTGATCTTTATGCAGAAGTTGGTGATATTTTTGTGACCAGAGAGATGCTGTAGGAACTTAGTCGTGTTTATAGAAATTAGCCTATTTAAAGTTGGTTTAGTTATGTCTCACTTAAAGCAGTAGCTTCCTGCCAGGTGTGGTGCCTCACACCTGTAATCCCAGCACTTTGGGAGGTCGAGGCAGGCAGATCAACTGAGGTCAGGAGTTCGAGACCACCTTGACCAACATGGTGAAACCCCGTCTCTACTAAAAAATACAAAAATTAGCCAGGTGTGGTGGTGGGCGCCTGTATTGCCAGCTACTCGGGAGGCTAAAGTAGGAGAATCACTTGAACCTGGAGGTGAAGGTTGCAGTGAGCCGAGATTGCACCACTGTACTCCAGCCTGGGCAACAAGAGTGAAACTCCATCTCGAAACAAACAAACAAACAAACAAAAATTAGCTGGGCATGGTAGCATGCACCTGTAATCCCAGCTACTCAGGAGGCTGAGGCAGGAGAATCGCTTGAGCCCAGGTGGTGGAGGTTGCAGTGAGTTGAAATTGTACCACTGCACTCCAGCCTGGGCGAAAGAGT